GTTCAGTGCCACACAGGGAGTGTCGGAGGCTACAGTGAATCTGCCCCGTGGATGAAAAAGCCTCTGGTCTGTGAGACGCTGCACTGGCAGGTTTTACAAGAGCAGTGACACAGACTGTTCGAGGCGTTTTACTGTATGCAAGAAAACCAGAGAAAGAATGAATATCACAAACAGCAGGGATGCTTGTTTTCCCAGTGGATGGTCTTCTTCTAGTCGGGGTGTGGTATGTCATCTCCATCTCAGCCTCACAAACATACAATATGTATGCGACTGGCTGCAGCTATTCGACACAACAAAGGCATGATGACATGTTGTAGCACTGAGCTCAAACTAGGTGTCAGCCAGGCAGTCCCAGCCTAAACCAGACTTCCAATGTGACATCTATTTTTCTGCAGTTTATGATATCTTGTCCACCCCTGGCGTGCTTTGGGGTCGGACACAGTATGATGAACACCTGTGCGAGGTAATGGAATGCAAAATGATATCCCTGGACAAATTATTACTGTGAAGGCTGAAGATGAGAGGAATTGATTCAAATCTATGGTCATTTCTGAGGCATTTGAAATTCCACTGCAAGGTGTTCACGGTATTTTTATAACCCTTGACCCCGACTGTATATGGTTCCAGTATAGCCTGCTTTAACTGCACAGAGCCACAATCTTCGATTACACAAGTTTCTTATCTGTTACAGGTTGTCATCACCCTGCTTGGCAGCCAAACAGACAGGAGACAGTCTCCTCCATCAATTTGAAGCAGTAACTGGCGGCTCAACACCTGTGGCTGTGATGACGACCAAAGAGAAACCACCTTCTAAGTCTCTATTTTCAACTTTCAGTTCTTTAGTAGCTTCAAACTGAATCTGTGTGTTTAAGAGTTTAATTCACTACTACGTTCCTGTCCGTAATTCAGATATAAGTATTATTTTACTCTTTCCTTATTGCTTATTATTGGAGCTAGGTTTGAGTCCTAATGCAGTTCTTCCTGGTGCCTGCTCCACATTAAGTTAGTCAGTAAGCTAGGATTACACTGGCAAAGGGTAAAAAGAGGAGCCTTTTATTGGGAGCCATCTACAGGAAATATAATGTATGTATCACTGAGTTGGAAGAACTTTGTGCTATTGTTATATACTGTAAGAATGATCCACAGCAGTGGATCCCAACCTGGGGAAAAGCTTTACATGAGGTCGCGAGGCCTCTTTTTGTTTTTTAACAGTTGGCCTATATCTCTGTATTCCCGTCAGTTCTGTGAAGAAAGCTAAATGAAAATATTATTATTTTTAAAGTTCAGACTTTTATTTAAGATCTAAACTTTGAAGATCTGATCACAAGCTAAATATTCACAAAGCCTTTACACTCTGAACTCTGTAATGCAGGACAAGGCTGTTTATCAAACAATCAAAGAGCAAATAGAACAGTGAGACAAAAACACACATCATTTGTCAGAAAAGACGCCTATTTAAGTATGTATGAATGTTAAAAATTCAAACAGTTACATATTGCAGACAGAATTGTAGAAGACATTCCTAAAAATATCAGCAAACTCATCTCTGATCAATATTCACAGAAATCTGCTCGAAATGAATCCAAATTGCTCGTTTTTCACAAACTTCCTGCAGTTATTGTGTTCACTTTTTGAGTTCATTGTACAGTTTATCAGTCGTTCTCTGCTGTTATTGTTATGCATTGAATATAATATGAAATATCCATAAAATATGTCTGTCAGGTGTCATCAGTTTACTCAGTGAAGGGAACCACTGGTCTACAGAATATAGTGGACATACTGCTTACTATTGGGTCAGTTTTAAGAAGTACCAAACAAGACAGTGAGCAGATGAAGAGCAGCAGATGACTGTTACTCTCCAACCCGTCATCGAGGTAAACAATGCCTTTTACTTCACTCTGGAAAACCACTGCTGTTCTACCAGCAGAGCTTGAAGAGTCATGGTTGGAAAAAGAGATGAACACGTTGCTGGCAATCTAGCATAAATTGAACAAACCCTTTTTCCCACGTACCTCTAGCTGTATCTGGTATTTAATATATATCTCTGACATATTTGCTTTCATCCCAGTACCACAGAGTTGGAAGGAGTTTCTCACAGCTTTGAAAAATTACATTTGAAAAATTGAAGAGAAATGTGTCCCTCCAGACACAATGCTCCTGTTATTGTGGATAATGCATATACCTCACTGTCAACAGATTTCATTGGAACAACTTTAAGAGTCTCTATGAAAACTGCTGACAGAGTAACAGGGACACTGTTTCTGGAAAGAGA